TTTTAAAACACGATGCAGCCAAAAGTTTGTGTTTTACAAAGGTTTTGTTTTCTGGCTTATTCCATGCCATTTTAGGATCGCAAATAATAATTATGATTAGTGATCAGGCAAATGACAATCATGATTTTATGATAATGATTTGAGATCAAGATAAGGTGATGATAAAAATGGGTTAACCACTACTTCCGAAATCGCGAAGCTCTTTCCCAAAATATTAAACTTATTAACTTATTCAGTGATGAAAAATACCACTTAATCCACATCATTCTTGTCATATTCAGTAAGTTATATCAACCTCTTTCTTTGTCTACACACACACACCATCTACATGTCTATCGATCTATCTGCCTATCTATCTCTTCTGTCTATCTTATCTTACATACATACATCCATAAATACATCCATCCATACATACGTGCATACATACGGACATTCGCTTGTGAACTCGGGTGTATGAAAAAGCGTGTAGTGAATTTGCGAAACTGAAAACGTATATTGTATTTTTTCCTTTTTTTTCCCTCCATTCGTAAACTTATCAATTTTGATAAACCATTATTATGTGTTGCCGACGATTTTAACTGTTGTTTCATTCATAATTTACTAACAGAAATGGGCGTGTCTTACACCCTGTATGCTAATGACATTAACTTTTCCGCCAAGATAATTAATGAGCTCATTAGGAGGATCACTGAAGAGCTTAGCACGGTCAGTAAATGGAATATTTCAAGCAAATTAACATTAAATACTGACAAATGGCATCATATCACATTTAATCATGATAAGCCCTTTCCATTGACACTTTTGCCAGTAAAAGTTAAGGAAAATTCATGGTGGTTATGACTGGTGATAACTGGTGATAAACAAGTTTTGTCAAATTGTGTGTCTATTGGCGAAATAGATGTTAACAATATTAATATCTTTATCTCTTTCCTTATCTCTCTCTCTCTCTCCTCTTTCTCCCCCCCACTCCCCCTCTCTCTCTCTCTCTCTTCTCTTCGCTCACGCCACACTGAATTATAATTCTGTACGTTTATTCTCGTTACTTTTTAATAGAGTTTCTAGAATATCTTTTTGAGGCCACACTGTTGTTTTAGAGCAAGATTACCATTTCATAAACACACGATTTACTGAACCTTCACTATTTTTATTCGGATAGAAATGTGCAGAGGATTATCAAGCGAAAGACTGTGGAAAATCGGAAATGACTGGTCTCTCGTCTCTATTTTGCTTCCGTATTCTTTTTTCTCTGTTTCTCTTTCTTATAATCTATATGCTTTTCTTAGTCTGGCTCACTGTGTCTATCTTTATCTTTTTCTCTCTCTCTGTGTCTCTCTCTCTCTCTCTCTCTCTCTCTCTCTCTCTCTCTCTCTCTCTCTCTTCTCTCTCTCTCTCTCTCTCTCTCTCTCTCTCTCCTTCCTATCCTTCATCTCTCCTTCATCTCTTTCTTCACATCACTGTTTGATTCCTCCACGTTCGTTCCCACTTGAAGCCTTCCCTTTTTATTATACTTATTGTTAAAGCAAGATCTTCCAAGAAATCTTGAACACGTTTGAATATTTCTTGAACAGAGAAATAGGAGAGGGGAGATGGGTGGAGAAGGGAGAGAGGGAGAGAGGGGGGAGAGAGAGAGGGGGGGGAGGATAGGGAGGAGGGAGAAGAGGAGAGAGGAGAAGAGAGAGAGAGAGAGAGAGAGTGAGAGAGAGAGTAGAGAGAGAGAGAGAGAGAGAGAGAGAGTGAGAGAGAGAGAGAGAGAGAGAGAGAGAGAGAAGAGAGAGAGAGATGAGAGAGAGAGAGAGAGAGAGAGAGAGAGAAGAAGAGAGAGAAGAGAAAAGAGAGAGAGAGAGGGGTAGAGAGTGGGAGAGGGAAGGGAGGGAGGGAGAGGGAGAGAGACAGGAGGAAGGAGAGCAGAAGAGAGAGAGAGAGAGAGAGAGAGAGAGAGAGAGAGAGAGAGAGAGAGAGAGAGAGAGAGAGAGAGAGAGAGAGAGAGAGAGAGAGAAAGGGGTTAGAAGGAGAAAGAGACGAAGAGAGGAGAGAGGGAGGGAGGGGAGGGAGGAAACTAATAAAAAAAAAAAAAAAGAAAAAATGTCAAAGGACAGGAAAGAAAACAAATAAAAAAAGAAAATGTTCAAGGTGAACAGGTTTAGCACAATGGCGAGAGTTGCCAGTCATTTTTTCTTCACAAAATACATCACAGCTCCCTCCGTAATAAAATCATAAAACATTAATAATCAGATATTCCTAATACATATTTTTTCACTTATTGTTACAAAAACTCCTAAAAAAAGTCAGTGAATAAAAATTTGAGATACCACTTCACAATTTCAAAAAAAAAAAAAAAAATCCAAAGAAATCTCTAAAATCCACAAAGCAATAAATATCAAGATAAAGTCAATAAAAATCTTAAAATCCTCAGCGGTTATGGGCGTCATAAACTACAAATCCTGAGAAAAAACTGTTCACAATCTCACGAATCCGCCGTTGTTGACTGTGTATATAACAGCGACTGAACACAACAGCGGATTCAGTGGCAAGTCAGACGGTGCTTAGAAAAACGGTGTCCGGTTGTGTGCGTTTTGGGGGAAACTTTATTATCATCATTATTTTTGTTACTTTTATTATCGTTAGCATTTTTATTATTTATTGCTGTTGTAGTTGTTGTTTTGTTGTTGTTGTTATTATTATTATCATTATTATCATTATTTTATATTATTGTTACTGTAACTGTTATCATTGTTATCATCTTCTTATTATTATCATTGTTATTATTTTCATTATTTATTATTATTATTATTATTATTATTATTATTATATTATTATATATATATTATTATTTTATCAATCAAGTATCATCAACCTCGTCATCATTATCATCATTGTTATTGTTAATGATATGACTATTATTGCCATTATTATCATCATCATCACTATTGTTATTATCATTATCATTATCATTATTATTATTATTACTATTACTCTATTTTATCATTATTACTGTTATTATTATTGTTACTGCCATTATCATCACCATTTTATTTTATCATTATTACTGTTATTATTCTTATTATTAGCATTATTATTATTGTTATTAGCATTATTATTATTACAATTATTATCATTATCATTATCATTATCATCATTATTATTATTGTCAGTATCATTATTACTATTGTTATTGTTATTATTATCATTATTGTTATTATTATCATTATTATTATCACTATCATTATTATTATTATTATTATTATTATTATTATTATTATTATTATTATTATTATTATTATTTTCTTTTCATTAATGTTGTAGTCATAAATATCATTATGATTATTTTTATTATTACTTATGATTATGATTATGATTATTGTAATGGTAATGATAATGAAATTAATAATGCCAGTGCCAATGACATGGATAATGTTGTTTATATTTCCATGGGAGTTTTTATCAAAAGCATTTCATAGATTCTTTCACCTGCCTCCCCCCCCCCCCCAAAAAAAAAAAAGAATCTACTTTCTTCGGATTTATTAGGAAGAACTAAAGTATATATGTAGAATTGTTATCAAAGTAATACCAATAGTAATAATAATAATAATAATAATGAATAATGATAATAATGATAATAATATAATAATAATAATAATAATAACAATGATTATTATCATTATTATAATAATAACCAGGAAACTTACTGGCTTACCCCTAAATTCTAGTACATTAATTTTTGTCATTTTCAATATCTATATAATCATTATCAGCTGTAAATGCATCATACACAAAACATGAATTTCAGTGATGAGGTCGAAAGTGTATACTAAATTATATTATTTATTTATCTATCGATTTGTTATATTTCCTTATTCATTTATTCACTTGTTGACTGTCTTTTTCCACTCATTTATCTATTTTTTTCTATATATTCATTCACTTATTTTTTCCACTTATTTTTTGTTTATTTCCCCACTTATTTGTTTATTAATTAATTTTTCCACCAATTCATTTATTTTTCCACTGATTTATTGGTTTATTTTTCGATTATTTATTTCTTTATTTATTCACTTATATTTTTTTATTGTTAATATTTGAAAATACAGAGAAAGATGATTGCCCCCAAAACTGAGTAAATAAAGGAACTACGCAAAGTGCATAAAGATAACAAACCAAAATAAAAAAGGAAGCGAAAGAGAAACGAGGCGAAGAAAACGGGAAAAGAAGAGAGAGGGAATCCCACCCTCCCTTTTCCCTCTCCCCCCCTCACCCCTCAATCCTTATTTATTCCTATTCCTATTAATTCTTTCCCCTCTCCCGTTTCACTCAGTCCTTTCTACCTTAACCCCCCTCCCTCTTCCACCTCCCCTCTCCCTCCTCCTCTTCATCCTTCGCCTCCCCTCATTCACCCCCTCTGCTTCCTCTATTCTCCTCTTCATCCTCCCTCTCCTTTATTCCTCCCCCCCTCCTACCTACCTCCAACCTCAGCCCTCCCCCCCCCACCCCCCCTCTCTCTCTCCCCTCACAAAATGGGAAAAGGAGGAGACGTGAGAGCTCTCCTTGCCTCGCGGAAGGCGAAGATAATCCTCATCGCCTTAGTTGTGGTTCTAGCTGCCGGACTCACTGTCATGGGAGTTCTGCTACACCAGGCGGGAACAGGCAGCGGGTCCGACACTGTTGCCAGACCCCAGCACGCCGAAGCACCTTGTCTCGTACCCGGTAGGGGATTTTTGCGCTGTCTGGAAGGCGCAAATTGTTATTATTGTTGTTGGTATTGGTTTTGTTTTTATTATTATTGTTGTTATTGTTATTGTTGTTATTGTATTATATATTATTATTTATAATTATTATTATTATTATTATTATTATTGTTGTTGTTGTTGTTGTTGTTGTTGTTGTTGTTGTTTGTTTTTTATTATTATCATTATTGTTTGTTGTTGTTTTATTATTATTATTAATGGTTTTAGGCTCCTATTAGTGTGAGGGAATTTCAACACACAACGGGGAAAACAACAGTGGATTTTAGTGGTTTTGGAGCTGTTATAAGTGCGAGATAATTTTTAATACAGCGGAGAAAATAAAATTGGGAACTTGTGTTGTATCTGATAGGGAATTTTGTGCTGTCTGTAGAGAGTAATTTGGTGTATTCTTTAATTTTTTTTATCTGTTATTACTGCGAGAAAATTTTAATACATAACGTGAAAAATAACATTAGTGTTGCCAGACCCGACCACGCCGAAGCATCTAGAAAGTGTTTGTAGGTTATATGAGGATAACAATTATGAAAAAAAATGTAAAAATCTGAATGTAAAAAAATATTTCCTATTTTTTATCACAATAATGAAATATAGAGCATTATTGAAACTCGATTTTTATTAAGATATGCATTTTTAAGGAAAACAAATTATGTCTCAAAGCTAAATTCCCTGGGGATGATTATAGGCATTAAATGATTTAATTTTTATTTGTTTTTAATTCTTATTTGTATATAATGATTTAATTATATAATATATAATGATTTAATTATATAATATATAATGATTTAATTCTTGTTTGTTTCTGATTGTGTAAGGACTGTCTGTTCATATTACACATGAAGAATAATGAAGGTTTTATTAAGGTGCTGAAATCAGTGTTGCCATTCTAGCTACTTTGAAAATTGACGCTATATTTAGCGAGTTTTAGGATTTTTTTCTAGCAAGAAAAAATATTAACTCAGGTGTTGAAATCCGTGTTGCCATTCAAGCTATTTTGATTTTTTTCTCAACATTTAGCGATTTTTAGGACCTTTTTTTTAGCGGGAAAACGGGATAACTTTTACTCTTAGATCTAGCGGGTTTTTTAAAGTCCAATGTAGCGTTTTTTCCTTTTCTGATATGAACGACAACACAGGTTCAGATTTCAAATGGATGGCGTCAAGGGAGATTCTGATAGTACTAGAGAGCGATATAAGGGGAATAAGGGAATTGACTGCAACAGGAACAACGAAGGGAAGGGGCAAGAAACACACGAATATGCCTACAACGAAGGGAAGGGCAAGAAAACACACGAATATGCCTACAACGAAGGGAAGGGCAAGAAAACACACGAATATACCGTTGTGTTTTCTTGTCCTTCCCTTCGTTATTCCTGTTGCAATCTGTTCACTATGAATTCCACACAAGGGAATTCGCGTATTATTTTAGAGGGATTGTATGGCGATAGGGGGTTACTGTATAGATTTATGGAGTTCCTTATATATCTATTTATATATTTGAAAATACAGAGAAAGATGACTAGCCCCCAAAACTGAGTAAATAAACGAACTACGTAAAGTGCAAAGACACAAACCAAAATAAAAAGGAAACGAGAGAGAAAAAATAGATATGAATATAGATATAGCTATATAGAGATAGGACTACAGATATAGATATAAATGTAGATGTAGAGATAGATGTGTTTTATGGTGTAAGTATAGTGTGGTGGGTCGTATGTCTTATAGTATTGGGAATATTTCAGTGGTGTTGAAAGAGGTAAGGGTAAGTTAGGAGAGGGGGGGGGGGGGGGGGGGGGGGGAGGTGGAAGGGATTCCAAATATGATTGTGATTGTAATGGGGAATATGGTAATGTGTTGTAACTGTGACCTGTGGGTAGGTTATTAATCTTCACAAAGGTAATTCTGCTTTATGCTCTATTTCCTCGTTGATTTCAATTTTCATTGTTTTCTTCATGTTTATCGCATATTCCATCCTATTTATACTTTCTTTCTGTGTTCCTATATTTATGATTATTACTCTTCCCTTTCGCTCAAAATGGGGGTGAGGTAGGGGGTGAAGAGAAAGATTCCTGTTTCATTCCTTTTCTTTTCTTTTCAACACACTCACCTCTACCATTTTTTACTTTTATTGTCGTTATTATCTTCTTTATTGTTTCTTTTTTATTCTCTATGTTAGTTGTTCTCTCCTTCCCTTTCATCGTACCTTTTTTTAATCCTCCTTCTCATGTCCCCTCATAATAACTTCTTCACCTCCTTCCATCTTTCTCTCCTTTTATTCTCCTCATTCATCCATCTCCTTTCCCCTTTCTTATTTACTTACTGATATTCTCTCTCTCTCTCATGCCTTTCTTCTCTCCTCTTCTCTTATTCACTCTTCCTCTTCCTCTTCCTTAATTCACCCTCCACCTTTCCTTGCTTCTATTCCCTCACTCTTCTCTTTCCTTCCCACTTATCCCTTCTTCTCCTCTCGCTCTCACCTTATTCACTCACCCCCCCCACCGCTGCTGTTTCCTTTCTCCCCTCCTCCTCCCTCCCCCATTCCCTCACGCCCTCCTCCATTCTCTCTCTCTCCTCCTTCTTATTCCCTCAACCCCCTCCCCATTCCCTCACTCGTCCTCTCTCCCTCCTCCCTCCCATTCCCTCACTCACACTCCCCCACCATACTTTCCCCCTGTCATTCCTCAATACCCCTTCTAGTCCTCACCCCCCCCTCCCATTCCCTTACTTACCCACTCCCATACCATTGCTTGTCCCCTCCTATT